CATACATTTGACTGGCAAAGAGTAGTTTAAACAGTTCGTGTATTACTCCATCCTGCTTTTGGACATGGTCAAACACACAGTGTGAGAATTAACTACTTCCTCACAGTGCATCAGATAACCTGTCACATATTATTCCCTTCCTTGGTTTACCCAACAATGAAAGCTGTCCTGAGTAATACACAGACTTAAGTTCAATCCTTGTGGAGCTTTGACTTCTGGACATCAAGGCTATGGTTCTTCTCATAAGACATGACTGTTGGTAGCCACAGTCCAACATCTTGTCCCTGGCAGTACCTGAATATATCCATGCTGTCAAGAATTCTGAGGAACACCTGGATCTCGTGCTTTAAAAATGCACAGCAGAGTCTTTGGATCTTGCCTGGAATATTTGCACTCAGTCCTGTAGAAAATAAATCATCCCCACCTTTCTACCATTGACTTCCATTTCTGTAGGCTCAGTAAGGGACCCTGGATCTGGAGAATGGTATTTGTCAAGTCTAAAGGGAAACCACCAGACAAATGACTGATCAGCAAAGGGGAACAGGCATGCAGAATAGGTATGAGATGTGAGTGATTCCACCGATTCATCTCTGTCATATTTTAACAGGAGGAAATAATCAGCAGAATTAAAGGGTCAAAGAGTATTCTTCGGTTTTGTAAAACAAGTTGTGTTCATATTTTATTGTGCAACTAGCTCACAAGAGCTAGGAAATGAAATGTAGTGTATGATAACAAAAATATATTGAAGCTAAACATGTAATCCCACAACTACCTATGGAAGCTGTTGGCTTCAAGAGCAAACACAGCATCTGTGTAGCAAATCATGTAAAGTTGGTCTGTGAATCAAAGAAGATGTCTTTTCTATCCCAATAAGCAAAAATCATAGCACTACATACTACTTTTCAAACACAAATCAGTGCAGATGCATTAATCACATACATGAACCTAATTAATACAAAAAGGAGGATTTAAATATTTTACTCTCATTTTGTACATGCTTTGAGACCAGCAGCTTTGCAGTCATGAGTGTTTTTTCCTTAACAGGGAAGCCAATATTTGTAACCAAGAAGTAGGCATTTTAAAATTTCAGAATGTCTTACAGATAAAACTCTGCTTAAGCTTCTGATGTTCCTTCCCCATTCTCATGTGGCTGCAGCTGTTCTCTTTCTTGCTCTTCCTGTGGTGGTCTCACACGTTTGAAAAAGCCCATCTGTGATTCAAAGAACAGTGAAGATATTGCACTGTGATTTAAAAAATGTATGAACATTCTCCTTCCTTCTTAAGCAGATCTTAACTGATTAGTTACTTGATTTTTCCCCCCACCTCCTACTGTCTTTTCCCTTATTTTTGACCTCCAAAGCCAGTAGCAGCTGAAAAATATAACTGATTAAATCAGCACAATCACAGACATTCTTTTATTCAACTTGCTGACAAAGCTGGAAAGTTTTTACAGTTATCTGATTAGTTACTTGATTTTTCCCCCCACCTCCTACTGTCTTTTCCCTTATTTTTGACCTCCAAAGCCAGTAGCAGCTGAAAAATATAACTGATTAAATCAGCACAATCACAGACATTCTTTTATTCAACTTGCTGACAAAGCTGGAAAGTTTTTACAGTTATCCAAAAACTTAACTGATTCAGATTATTATGGGGAGCAAGGTATTTGTACAAGCTGCTTCTGCAAGCTGCTAGTACTATTTGAAGTAATAGATCACTAGTAGGGACAATAACATAATACAAAAAACCCAAAGACAATACTTACCCTATACATAACAAACACTAGAACTGCCAGGAGTAATAATCCTGCTAGGACAGCCAAAATTATAACCCACACTGGCACAGGCATAGGCTGTGGTTGAATACCCCATGTAATATTTGTAGTGACCTAATAGAAAAACACAACAGATCACATTTTGCACACCAGTGACCTACAGAGTTCATTCATGCCGTTTAAATCTTGCATATTTTTACTTGATAGTGTTTAAGATACTCTTAATCCATCATAGGTTTTTTCTCTCCAATGTTAGTAAACAGCTATAGATGAATAGTGACAAAGGCTTCACTGACCCAAATTAAATAGGATTTGCAAGTTACATAAAAGCAGGTTTGGGGGGTTTGAAGGTTTGGTTTTTTTGCAGTCTGCAATACCATGGCAACATGTATTCTGTAATCCTTGATGATTTTCAGTATAACTGCAGTAATCTGGAAATATTTGGGAATTAGAGTAAAAGAATTCTAGGCCTTTTTTTCTTAAAAGGCAATATTCCTTGAAACAAAAACAAGAACAAAAAAATACCTACAGAAGGCTGAAGAGATACAAGAGAATTTATCACTGGCATTAGAAACCATACTTAAACACAATCCTTTTCAATCCTTTCATGCTATAGTGTCCATCAAACACTTAATTTAGCAGCCCAAAGAAATATATCTTCCTTTCTGTTTGCACCCTGCTTCCTTTCTCTTTGAAGCCCTCTAGAGCACAGATGTTCCTCTTCTTCCACCTTCACATAGTAATTCATATAATAAAGGTCCATTATTCAAAAGCTTTAAGTGCTACTACAATAGAAAATTTTCAAGTAAAATATTTCTCCAACAAGAATGGCATTAACAAGAACATTAGGGCTGTTCGTAACTATTTTCGTTAGGTCTTCAAAGCTACAAATACTGTTAACTCTAGTCTTAGGAGGAAAAACTGTTTTACCCTCAATTATATGTGTATAACTGAAATTAATACACAAATCAAATACTTGCTAAAATGGCAAATACACCAAGCTCCAAAAAAGCTATTCAACAATCATTGTTTTACTACTAATTTCTAAAGAATTATCTTATTATGAGTGATAACTCAAGCTGGATGTAAGTTACTTACTACTGTGGAATTGTGGATGTCTTCGAAGGAAAGGTTCTTATAAGGGAACTCTATAACACTGAAAGAAGCAGATGATTTGAGAGAGTAGGAATGATTCTGATTTTCTTTCTGTGTAAGAGAACACAAAAATTAGTCTTTGATGTGGATACAAAAATCATTTATATTTCAGAAGCAGGGACTATGTTCGCTCACTCACATGCATGAAAGTTTGTGTCCAAAGGCGAGATTTTAAATACAATATTGCACTCTTTTACAAAAATCATTTATATTTCAGAAGCAGGGACTATGTTCGCTCACTCACATGCATGAAAGTTTGTGTCCAAAGGCGAGATTTTAAATGCAATATTGCCCTCTTTCCCCTTTCCAGGTGGCCAACTTGACAGACTATCTTTAAACACTCTGCTGTTCCGCAGCCCTGCATAGAAAAATAGAAAAGATATTCAAAATACAAAATATTTGACAAGTCATTAATCACTTTACTCATATACATAAATTAGTCCCCTTTTCCTGACAAAGCACTATAAACTATTCAAATATATTAAATAAACCCCAATTTTTAATAACACTTGTAGCGCTCTCTAAGTTTGCATTCAGGAAAATATTATGTGAGCCACCTGGATCCCAGAGGTGAAACTGCTGGCATTAGCTTTAAGGAATTTATTTTATCTATGCACATAGAAAAAATGTCAGAGGGTGGGAAGGCCATTTCTGGTCAATTCACATCACCTTCCTCCACGTGTCTTACAATGGAAAACTCAGAACAATTAACTGCACTTGGTGCCAACAGAACATGCCCTATATTCAACAAAAGTCTTTGAACTTTGCTGATTGACCTAACCTACAAGCCATACTTAAGACTACACAAGTTCAACTGGCCTTTCTCAACCATATTTCCACTAACATCCACCAGGTGACATTGACCTTACACCATCAGTAATTCAAGAAGAAATCAGAGCAAAATAATACTTAATTTTAGAAATTTCATTTTAGCTGTACTACAGATGAAAGCACTGCATGGTGTAGGTACATCTCCCAGTGTAAGAAATCAATCAACTCTCTGAAATTATGATGGATATTAGTCTCTGAGGTGAAATTCTGCCAAGTTGTTGGGAAGATTTGGCAAAAACCAAGCCCTTGAAAATAATCCAAAACCTTCTGAACTGCATTTATAGATACAGAAGAGTAGCTAATAGCTAAAAAAATAGTCACTTTTCTCACAATAACACCATAAGCTAATTCCTATTCTTACTTCCATTGTTCAGGCCATATTTTTTGTTTTCCTAAGTCTAAAAAATTCTGGAATCAGGGTGTACTGTACATTGGTCCACCCTGAACTCCCAAGCATTTCTCTCAGCAGTCTGCCTGCCTAAAGCAGGGATACATTCATTTCTGCAAGGGCAGTTACAGACAGCGATACGCTAACATATTTCCTTCGTATTACAGATTATTTCCTATCTTGTGTAGAAAGGATACACCCTCCACATGTCGAACTGCAGGATGTCCACTGATCAGCTAGGAAACAGATTGTGAAATAAACTGTAATTTCTGGGAAAGATGACTGCAGCACTCACCTGCTGCTCAGTTAACCTATTTTGCAAGCTTTCCTGCTATGAAGTATTGATTTTCAAATTCAGGGAACAGCACAACATAGAAGACTGACACTGAATCAAGTGCCCAACAACTGTTGCTTTTAAAGACTTAAAACATAACAACACAAAACTGTAGGCATGTGCCTCATGGGTTGACTAGCCTGAAGAAAAATGATGCACACTGGGGAAAAAAAACCCCACAACCTTCAAAGAGAAAAGCTCCAGAACATGACTTGTTTGTCTATTAACCATTTAAATACAGAACGTGGATTTTCTGAAATACTTCTTCATCACATGGACCTTTCATCTCTCAATTATAAAAAACAAACAATACCAAAAGTATTACCATGTCTCTGCTCAAAGCTTACCAAAGTTTGCACATCTCCTTCAATGGCAGTTAAATCCCTTCGGCTGATATGATGGTCGCGATTATCTTCCCTGCTAAGTGTTTCATTCTTATCATCATCTTTAGAAGCAGAAATCTAAGATACACCGACGAAACCCAAAAAATAAATAACTCTTACATTTAAGTATTTGCACATTTCAAAGTTAAGGTCAAGAAAATATCCAAGTGATCAGGTTTCTCTTTCTTCCTGTCCTAGCTGTTTTCTTCAGAACCTGGCTTTACCTTCAGCTGTAATTAAGATGTTCCTCCTGCCTTTTCTGAATCATTCATGCAAATTCCTACTAAGATCCTACAGAGCCTTGAGTATCTTAATTCTTCTTCAGCACAAAACCTTTTCGTGTATCAAAAAAGGTACTCTTGGGCTGCAATAAATATTTCAGTTTTGCAATTTGTTATTGAAGATTTTTCCTCAAAATTTCAGTTTTTAACTCAAGAAATAGCTCTAGAAGGGTACTGATGTACAGCATACCACTGTATCTCCCCACGTGTTTGGACTGAGACAAAAGATTTTTTAGTAGGGGCTTGAACAAGTACACAGTGGGTTTATAAAACATTTCAGTAATGTCTTCAAAATTCACAATTTAAATTTTCAAGTTTACATATGGGACTAGGCAAAACCATGCTACTCATCATCTACATAACAAGTTTACATGATCAAACTTAGAACTGTAAAAAACATTATTAGCAATGGTATAGCAAAAGCACTGGAAATTTGCATTTACATATTCACTGAAGTTGCGTTCCATTTATCAAAGATACATGAGTATTCTTTGTTGTTCTACATGTTTAACATCTTCCTCAGTCTTATTACAGATATTTTAGCTTAAATTCTTCTAAAACAAATATATTGATTTTTACTACCACTTCTAAACTGTCTTGGAATTTTGCTCCCTACACTCAATTGACCTTGATGTCTTTTCTCTGCTGTTCCTTTGTCTAGTCCACCTTAAGAAAAAGATGTTTATTCTGCTCTGTGCTCTGCAAACTGCATGTTTTGTGTCAGTGACAGCATACATTTAAGCTGAAACATCCCTATTGACTTGTGTGGCATTTGGATGAGGGCTTAGGTAAGTAAACTAATAAAAAAAAAAAATAGTGCCACTCGCTTCCAAAAAATTGGCCTGAGAAAATTTACGTAAACAACTCAGAAGCATCTGGAATATTTTTGCTCACAACCACATTCAATATAATTCCATTGCTTCGCACTTGGAATTCATATGGTGCAGTCTTACAGAAAAAAAAATTACCGAAAAGAAAGAGGACAAATTCATCTTTGAGTTGACAACCTATTGTCTGCCTTTTATTTCACTTGCTCTAACATGAGCAAATACTATCAAATGGTTCAGTCTTGTTTCTCAGCAACAAATGGAAACTTAACTCAGTGTTAAATACTCTAAGGTATTAAGGTACTTTGAGTGTGTTGCCAAAGCAAACATGCTTTGTTCCACTCAGAAAGTTCTGCTTACCTTAATTTTCAATGGATTGATTTCCATATCAGAAGTGCAGTTCATGGGACCATCTATTTCATACTGAACAATATACAACAGTGTGTCGTTTTTGTATTTGTAAGGCCACTGCAGAGTCATCATCACTTTGCTGAAGGCACTTGGACCATTGTTTCTCAGCTGATTATCAAAAGAATTTTAACAGATGTAAAAAAACAATGCTGCCTTCTTTCTTCATGTTCATGTAGTTATTTAATATTTGAGCCATAAATGATTCAGCTACTACACCCACCCCTTACCACTCATGGCAACAGCACCATCAAACACCCACCCCTTACCACTCATGGCAACAGCATCATCTTTACCTAAAATTGGTAGCTAAAATTCAGTCCCCCAACAGGTAAAACTTCAAATTACTTTGTAATTTGATAAAAATTACTGAGAAGGTACATGGCTTTGGTTTTTTGCCTTAAAGAAATGCGTATTTTTTTCCTTTTAAAAAATGTACATTTCTTGCAGCAGACTGCAGGACACACCCACTGAAACTGTCTCAGCCAAGATATTCTGAGCACAGATACATGCCCATAAGTTACTTTAATTAGCTAAATGGTCTCTTCAGCTCTAGAACAACTGTTATTCACACAGATCTCAGTAAGTTTTGTTTAATTAAACGATGTAGATTAAAGCTGTGGTCATTCTTTTAAGGAAATTTTAAATACTTAAATTTTTCAAGGCAAAAGACTTCACAAGAATTATTCAGAACAGCTGGAATACAAATGAAGATACTCAATAATTTACAGCCATGAATCAATTTTCCAAGTTCAAGTTCCTTGGTATGTTTTATCTAGATTTGAAAGGGCTAGAAAATATGTAGTAATGTTAAAAACCCCCAGCCTTTTCTATTTTGCCACTCCTGTTAGATCAATTGTGGGCATTCCAACCCTTCTTACAGATAGCAATTATTGACCCAGCATTTAAAACAAAGAAGAAAAATAAATCTTTGTTCCCACAACAGATTTTACTCCTGAGACAAGCTACACCAGAAGACTTGTTTTAATTTGTCACAAAAATATGTAACTGAAATCAGTAGTAATTCCATACCTCATAGATATGCTGAACTAGAGGCCCAATATCATCTTCTGTTTCTGGGTTTTCCTTTGGCTGCCAGTTTGCAATTGGAAGGAATATATGATCAGGAGATGACACACTAAACAGTGGAGCAAACAAGTTGTTATTATAAAGTATGAAATGATAAATCTAGTTTTCTAGAATATCTTAAAAATCCACATGCTTAAAATACAATCTCACATTTTTCATGGTCTGCATATACCAGTGGAGCAGAGTTTGAATGGCTTGTATATTACAAGTTCAGTTTTCTTCTCTAAATGAAAAGATGAGTCGTGCATTTAGAAACATCTCTTTTACCTGTCCCAAACACTGGATTCAGCCTACATCTAGTAAGCCATCAGTGGAATTATGATACATACATGTCATCCAAAAACCACACTGTGAAATACTGTGATAATGACAAATACTGATGCAGGCTTAACAGTGGACTCATAAAAAGAATTCAGCACACACTAAAATGGTGAAGCTAGCAATAATGTTTTCCAGTTGTGCCATCCCCTCACCTCTCAAATATTTACAAATTTAGACCATGGTAATAAATGCAATAGCAATTTAAAAAAAAAAACAAAAAACTTTTAGGTGTGCAGTATAGATTTACTTTAAGCAGAAGTCATAGAGGTAATGGAAACATTGCAATATTAATACCATGCTTAATACTGAGGAAGGTGAGGGCATTGCAAACTTCTCTATGATTGCATCTGCAGCTTTGCTTTTAGAAAAGGTTGCAGGGGTTCTCAATGAAAACCTAATCAGTTTGTGGAGGGAAGTGATGTGTAGACATGTGCGCAACTGCAAAAATGAGGGACTTCTTTTTCCACTGAAAACATCTCTAGTAATAGAAGCACAACATCCCCTTGTGGAACTCAGGCTTTAATTATTCAGAATTATTCAAGATTAGAAAGTCCAAAGGGTGGCTAGAGATGTAAAAGTTCATTCATAAAGAAACAAACATGCAATACTCATTTAATACAGACATTTATTAAAATAGCATCAATACTTACCCTCTAATTTCAACAGCTGCTAAAATGGCAAGGTCAGCCTGATAGGATACTACTGGGCTTAGATTGTCATACAGGTTGGAACTGAAGAGAAAATATAAGTTAATTTATTAAATGAAATAAGCTAAGTATTTTTAAAAACCCAAAACTTAAAATAATTGTATGTAATATCATAATATGATTCCTGAGCCACTGCAGGAAAGCACATTTACTAAAACTAAGGAGCACAATCCAGCAAGTTCTTACTGAAATGCATGACAATGCCATCCCTCTGTACAGTTGGGAGGTGTCTCAGCAGAAAGAAGTCAGTGAGGAACACAAAGCTAGTGCTGACTCTCCTCCTGAGCTGCTGCATGTAAAGAAGATTCAAATGCTGGTGTTGTGGGATAACATCAACTAGAAAACTAGCAGAGGCTCAAGTTGCCCTTGAAGACATTTGATTTGCTCAGAAACCTGTTGGCTATGAACTAGTCCCAAGGCAAAAAAGTATGCTAGGGCTACACTTGCCTACCTGAGGAAGAAGTCAGTGAGGAACAAAAAGCTAGTGCTGACTCTCCTCCTGAGCTGCTGCATGTAAAGAAGATTCAAATGCTGGTGTTGTGGGATAACATCAACTAGAAAACTAGCAGAGGCTCAAGTTGCCCTTGAAGACATTTGATTTGCTCAGAAACCTGTTGGCTATGAACTAGTCCCAAGGCAAAAAAGTATGCTAGGGCTACACTTGCCTACCTGTCTTCAGTGTTTAAGCCCGTTAACAACCCATTCCCACATGCCAGATATACCAAGAAATGAACAGGTATCAAGGCATGTCAAGTCATTCATACACAACATGTATTTGGACTTGTTTGTAAACAGAAAGAAATACTAAGTATGCTCCTTGTCCCCTCAAAATGGAGCTAGAGACAGAATTCTCATCTCCTTAGACCTATCTGATTATGTCAGCCTAACCAATTTCCTTTAGAAATACCTTCTTGAAGCTTCTAATTATCCCTCATTGCTGTGGTAGTAAAAAAATAAATGGAAGTATTTTCTTTCTGATCTATAACTACCTCATCCTTTCAGAGACTATAGTTGTTCTGCTAGGCATTGTGGCAGCTTTAGACATCTAGGCTTTGTGAATTTAAGACAACTAGTGTGAACTTGAAAACCTCTGCAAGACAGTACCTTGATAATACCTGTCACTATAAGCTGTGATTACCATGTTTGATTGCATCACTATTCTCCCATGGAGAAGTCACGTGAGGAAATTACTTCCATAGAAGGTGTAAAATGGTACAGGAACATCCTTTCTGTTCCATGAGAGAAGCATGACCTAAGCAACCTCACTACCTGTTAGTGACCACAGTTAGCTTAAGGCAGACAGACACCCCAAAGAAGATCACTTTCTGTAAAGAAGAACTAGAGTCACAGGCCAGTGGCCTCGCTTGCGAGCTGATGGAGGAGGAAAAAATGGAACAGACAGCAATGTGAGATCAAAGATATTTAATGCTGCCAAGGCCTTTGATCACTACTGCAAAATACTCCATCATGGAAATACGATGCCAGGTTTAAACTTGTTTAACTCTTGTAGATGAAAAATGTGTATGTGGATGAGAATAATTTTTTTACTACTTTAAAAAAACATGAGGCCCTTAAAATGCAAAAGAAGCATTTGGTCTACCATGGGGACAAAATGCAGTAGTATTTGTATTGTCAAATAAGAAACAAAGCTATATTGGGTAAAGAGATTCCTGTTGACCACATCTCCAAATCTTAAATTAGGTATAAATTCATATTTATGTCTCATATTTGTATGAAAGCACTATGCTTCTCTTATAATAGGAACACTACTCTTTTTTCCACTTATGTTTTAGGCTCCATTAAGCTGGTGGCCATACAATATGTAAAATGCTTCAGTCCATGTTGCTTCCACTCAAATCATCACATGCATTGTCTTTTCTGCAAGATATATACATCATCCTTAAAAATATAAAACTTGAAATTCTAGCTTTGCATGAGAACGAATTTAGCGTTCAAGCATCAGTTTTAAAACAGGGCTAGAAATGCAAAGACACAAGTCATTCTGTTGCACAACACAAGTGTCAGATCACAACAATATGCAAGTACAAAAACATCCATCTTTTCCTGAAACGCTTTATTTGGTTTTGTTCCTCATTATTACTATTTCACTTGTGCCGTCGTCTGTCTAAAAGATATAAGCAAAATAAACTGCATTCAAGCAGAAAACTGTTTTCTTACATTTTTCCTCTATTTTCGAAAACATAGTTAATTAAATGTGGTTATTTTTTAAACAGTTATAAAGCAGAGGCAGAGAATTGACCCAAAGTGAAGCTACCTGCTCAGTTCACACCCTACTTGCTTGGCACAGCATCTGCTAGGTGAAGTGCATGCTCAAAGAAGTCCCTACCTTCGGATTTGCAAGTCAAACTTCACAGAGGTGTCCATTTCAGACTGCTGGTGCACGCTGAAACGCAGGCCAGCTAGTAGCTTTAGAAGAAAAATTACTAAGGTTCAGTGGAAGCACAATAAAACACACAATAAAATGTTCTTAATAGTCTTACACTAGAATGAAACCGCTTGAGGCACATGGTCACAAAGAGAACACACACAGAACTGTCAAATAAAGCTTGACCAGTTCACAGACTACGAATCTCTCTGGAGATTTCAGCCACTACATCAGTGCCACAAAACAGAAGTGATGCTATATTTCCCTTGCTTCAGCCATTTGTACAGGGAACTCAGCATCCCCATGTGTAGCAAAAAGCACTGTAGAACAGGACACAGTTTTAACACTTGTAAATTCAGTTCCCAAGGTTGGTTCTATAATCAGTGCTTGACAGTGCTTCAACATCTGTACACTTCAGCTTTCTATACTTTGAAAGACCTTGGAAATCACATTTATAAATCTATACCAAATGTCTCTTGGAACAAAGGCACCATCAAGTTGTTTATAATTGTGATGGATTTTCACTTCATAGAGTAAGACTTACTGTGTCATATCATCTTAATATCTGCCAGGTCCCACTAACAGATTTTTTTTAATTCTTCCAATTTCAGCTACATTTAGTGGAAGTACACAAGTCTCAACTAGACAAAAGTCTCTCAAGCTTCAGAAAATTAGGCAAAAGAGAGAAGCACTGTTAGGTTTCCACTAAGAGAAAGCTGTGTTATGAGCAGGCTCTTTATTGTATACCAAAAAATACATATCAGATAAACCTAAATACAAACTCATGAGGGACCAGAGATCATTAAGACCTTTATTAAGTACTCCTTTTGAGTTGCATGAAAAGAACTCAAACAGTCCCCTTCATCCTTTAATTTCAATGACAATTGTAACTAATTACAACTGGAAGTAACCAAATGTGGGCAGCAAAATGTCAGCTATAACTCATCTTGAATTCCTGAGAGTAGACATCCTGCCCAGACACTAATGTAAGAAAAACACCACTAGACTCCTGCTTGAGCTACAAGGCATCTGTTGGACCAACTTTACCTTAGTTCCTGCTTTCATGGGATTTCCTAGGTCACAAACTACCATGCGAGTTTGATTCTCTGTTTTAAATGCACATGACAGTCTTGCTAAAGCCTGCAATAAAGCAAAAAGAAATACTAAGGAAGATTATTCTTTGCATCTGGACACCTGGATGAAATCCTGGAGAGCAGCTCTCAATATGCTGCTTTAATTTCAATACAATGTCTTAGTCCTAACACAGTCAAGCACTAAAATTAAATAAAATCTGAGAATGAAAGTCTCCATGGAGACAAATACTTTTGAAATGAGACAGATGCTCTTGCCAGTATTATAAAAAGAGAAATTCAATGCTCTTATATTGAGTGGCACTCACGATTTTTGTGACCTAAAGCATCTCTCCATATTATTTTTTAAAACCTTTGTAATCCAGCCAGGCCAGGATTTCAACTATTCATGGGAAAATAAAGACTAGAAAACAAAATAACGTGGATACTAACTTACTTACTCAAAAACAGGTCTTAGAGGAGCTATATGATTTTGGATTAAGCCCCATGACAAAGCTCTAGAGCAGCAGACACAAACTGTGGAACCGAACCCAGTCATGGTGCAACATACATGAGGAATATGGTATCAAAGTTGGAATCCTTTGATAGAAAGGGAAAATAGACTCCCCCTTAACATTCTGCACATTGACAGATACACTGATCACATGTTACAATGAATAAAAACAAGGAAGAAGAAAATCTGGAAGTTTATTACTTACATCTACCTAAAATGCGCTAAAACAAAATTTGGATTGTACCCACGTCTTCCAAGAAATCATAGAATGGTTTGGGTATGAAGGGACATGAGAGATCATGTAGTTCCAAAACCCCCTGCAATGGGAAGGGACACTTCCCACCCAACCTGATCTTGAAATAAAAGTTACACAGACATTTTATAATAAAACAATGGGAAGTAAGGAAAAAAACACTTCCGTGTTCTGTGTACTCAGGATAACTGACACCCAAGACTTTCTACATTCTTAAGTGGAAGAGAACAGTAATACCCAACATCACTTTTTGCCTTACAGGTGCTCAGGTCTTTACCTAATACATGACATGCAAAGTCTAAACTTGAATAAATTAACAACGGTACTATTCAATCAAATTAAGATTTGTAGCAGGTAAACTGTGTGTCAAGCTCCAACACACAGATAATTCCCATTTGTTGCTGGCAGTAGGCTCTTCAACTGGAACCATCAAGTCAGGTGTTATAATTCTCTGAGCTTGGAAGAACCTTATAATTTAAGATTGAAGCATGAAAGACACCCCTGACTGATGCTCTCCCACAGACTTCCATAGCTGCTCCTGAAACATCACTACTCAAAGAAGAAGAATGAGTTTTAAGTTTACCTCGTTGTTACGAACAACACCAATGAAATCTGCTTGGGGTGGCACAATGACAAAGAGTTCTGCTTCATAGGCTCCTTCTCCTTGATTCTGAGCACTGACAATTAGTGTCAAGGGATTGTCATCACCAATATAGATCTGCTTCTGATCACTACAAAAAATGCATGTAAATATGAGCTCCACATTCAGATTTTAAAGCATATTGAACTGGCTGGACTTACAGAAACAAGACACATTCTGAAATTACACAAAGACATAAGAGAAATCTAGAGGCAGTACCTATGTTTCAGGAATATTAAGAGTGCTCTACACTATGTTTAAAATAAAAGCTTGCCTACAATCACCAAAATGGAGCAAATATGACAGACTGTATCCTAAGAAACCTTTTAAAAAAACTTACAATAAACCACAAAACCACTGACACCTTTTTTTTTAACCAAAAGCAAACAACTACAAACAGCTAAATCACTTGTACATTTTGAAGGACATGCCTACCCAGCAGAGGTACAAGCATACATTTATAGCAATACTTGGTGGAAGGCTCAAGGACAGAAGACAGCCAAGACCCCTGGAATACATTTGCTCCAGATAGAAAAAGAATGTCTTGGCTAACAACATATTTTTATTTCACCAACTCCAAGGAAACCTAACTGTACCTCCGCTGATATAAAATGTTTCTGACGCCTTGGCATAAATCAGCGTGTGTGTGAACTGTACTATCTACATACATGTGCATATACCACAGCTCTGGACTAAGGTCATGAAAAAACCCAGATGACACTTATGAATAGAGATAATATCTGAAGAATGGCTTTCAGGCATACAAAGCACAAAAATCCCAGAGTCATGAAAAAAATTATGAGTTGAAACTTGTGTCTTTTTTCCAGGTTAATTACGAGTTATTACCAATACCAACAGGTTTTTTCACACGTGTGACAACAGAGCCCTATTCCACCCCTTGGCTGGATAAATCCATGCCTGTTCACATCTCCATGTGTCTCTATCTAGTATTAAATAACAGACCAGTGGTACAATTGCAGCTAACACAGGTTTATGCTTGCCATGTGTCCAGGTTAGCAAATACACAAATAAATGCTGTAGGGGCCAGGGTGGTGATGATGGTGTGTGCTTGCCCTGTGTTGCAAATTAAAGACATGAGGTTACAAAGCAGGAAAAGGGTTTCCCTGAAAACAATTAAGCATTACTTTACATTATATACTATGAGGAGTCCTACTTATTTTAACACACATTTTAACAGAAGTGTTACAAGCTCTTCAAGTTAAGAACTCAAGTCAGGAAGTTAGTTTTCCCTGGACTATTTGTGTTATGTATTTACCTTTCTACTGACACCTCCAGCTTTGGTTTGCAGATGTTATCATCACCACAATCCAGCAGAATATGTGCCTGTACAAAAATCAAAGGCATACTGTCATAATATATCCTGCATCTGTTTAAATATATATGGCCAATAATACTGTTTTACCACCAAATGAAAAAAAAACAACACCACCTAAATAGCTGGTTATGAGATACCTTCATCTCATTAGTCTCAGAAGAAAATCAATATTTTTTTATATATGGGGGCACTGTGCCTCACCCTGCCATACTGCAATTCTAGGGCTTATGTCTCCATGCCTTAATCCTCTTCCCATACTTTGAACAATCTCTTCATTTTGAGTTCTATCTCCACTATCCTTTTTACAAAGAAGTGTTAAAATTTGAATAAAGGGCAGTAACAGAAAACCTATGTTTATTACTTGCAGGGATAAACATAATATACACAGAGCAAAGTAGGAGTAATGGATGAAACATTCCAATCCTTCAAGATTAACACCTTCATTACTACTATAACTGCTTTTCTCAAGTAAACTGTTAACGTGTGTGAAAAGCAAGTCTAGCACCAAAGAATCGTGTCAAAACCCAAATGCGGCACAGAGAAGAGAAATAAGACAAACTTACCAAACTAACCATCAATAATAAATCAAAGACTAAAGCCCTAGATGTATATCTTTCTATCTTAATTTTTCAGAAATATTAAGATGAACACAAGTATTGAAAGTGTGTTCTCTCATCCCAGACTGTAAGACATATACCTGTCTGCTCATATTAGCAGGAGTGAACTGGTTAAGGATAGGATGCAATCCTGTTGCATCTGCAGCTGTTCTGTAATCCAGACGATATTCCATAAAAATAGTAATGGGAGTTAGCTTGTCTCTAAATTCAGATTCATCCTGGGGAAAACAGAGATATGAATTATAAATAAAACATCCTTGCAGTCTTTACACACATCCCAAGAGACTAGTGAGCAGCATTTTCAAGTGGTGGTTACACGGCAGTAGGAATGAGGAAGCCAAAAGAAAAATAAAATTTTGAACTTTTCAAACTATAAAAATCTGCAGTGGAAACTCTGAAGATGGACAATTCGAGCAGTAACACGCCTGTTTTACACGTGGAAAACGAGAGCATACAGAAGTATTAAGTCAGAAAAGCATAACAGTGAGGAGTCTAAAGGGCTATAACTGTTCCACTCTTTTCTGTCAGACAAAATTCAGTGAACTTCTAAGATCCCCTTGTAGATCTTATTCTTTGGACATGATTTTTACTTTTTAAAATTATTACTTAGCGCTTGGAGTCCCTGACTTGCATCTAATTCATTTCAAAGACTTCTGTTTCTCAAATGTCTATCCTGCCTGTCAGAGAACTTGAAAGCCATCTTTTAGCTTTATATAAGCCACAGATTTTATCAGTGCAAACCCTGCTTCTAAGTTTACTGAATCTAGAACAGCTCATTGCAGCATCTTACTTGAGGAGCTACCTTTTATGGGCAGAAACATACTGGTAACTTACTTTTCAATTGGTTTTGCATCCAGTGTAAGGAGATTTCATACTGGTATATCTCATATTGGTCATGTGCCATCACTCTGAGAATGTCTGGTGGAAAAGTGTTCTAGCTTCACTAACATTGAGATGTGGGATGCCTATTTACATACAGATCCCGCTCAAAAGGCCAAAGAAAGCTACAACCTGTCCTCCATGAACCCTGAATAATCACTACTGTTTTTTCAGGGTTGTTTTGGAGACCTAAGTATTGTTTGATTTATAAATGCTCAAGATACATCTGAGCTGCATCTAACTTAAATAGCTACACACATTCTTTCCTTAGTTGAGCCAGTGTTTCTCCTACTGGGTTACACTTGGTAATTGTGTTGGCATCTGTCCACACTTGTGGGGATCAAAGCAACAAGATTGAGAAAAAGTAGACAATATTTCAGCCTTCTTTGTCTCATTTTGTCTGTTACTTGCTGATTTTTATTTTCACCTCCAAACTAGCAGCTCAACCTTTACTTATTTACTTAAATGTTACTTTGAAATTTTCCAAGAAGTCAATAACAAAGTTCAGAATTGAACTTCCAATCCATTTTAGCAATTTTAAGCCTATCAATTGTGCATGAAGTTTCTGCAGCATTTTTTTTTCCTATGTTTTTTAAACACTTTTAGACTATTTTAGAATGGTTGTATCAGACAACGTACCAAAAATTATTTGCCTAAAACATCAATGGCTACTTACCCTCAGGAAGGCATCAAGTTCTTCACAATTCATTTTGCCTCCCTTTGTAATAGTCATGTTCTTAGAGTGGCTAGGCTGTTTGCTGTGGAGAAAGAGAGCTCTCCTTATAGCTCCTTTCTGCTTAAGTTTATCCAACAGCAGCTCCACTTGAAAATCTGTCCAATCCAAAACATTTAGGTTAGGGAAATTTCATTCCAATAAACACCGTATAGATTCCCATCAGGAAGGGAATGGAAAAAGCTGTTTTAGCTCCAATGAAAACCTAGTCCTTTGAACTTTTAAAACTTCCACTTCTTTCAGTTATAGAACCTGTTACTACATTAGTTTTCTAAACAGTAACTCACCAGCACTGTTGCTGTGCTAAGTTACACTCTCTTTTTTCCTTCAAAAATGGACACATCCAAGACAACTGATACATTTATAGCTGCTATAGAACTGCAAGTGGAGCTTTTCCCCCAGAAAATTGTAAAGATACCTTGTACAGAATTATTTACCTGTTTTGCTAATTTAATTACTTCACCTATTTTACATAGATAATGATTAAATTAAATAATCATAGATAATGGTTTAAATTTTTAAAATATGTAACAGCTATTTACATGAATCTTCCCAGATCATACCACCTCCTCACATGCCATATAGGAAACAAGGAAAAGCTTTTATAATCAGTAGACAAAACCTGGCTGTCTGCCACACAGCACAGTCTAAGACAAAACTTTAAAACCTGTTTGAAACAGCCTTTTCCTGGGATCCAGAGAATCTGATATCTATCAGAACTTTATTATTTCTGCAGAAATGTGAGAACTTCCCTGTAAGGATTGGCTATATTATGCAGACCTAACAATGTATATACTTGACTATTCTTGTCTAAAACTCCCCTCAAGGAGAGCTGATCTCAATTCTGTAGGATACAACGGACTAGTTCCACCAAGTGCTAAAACATATCAAGTCCTCAGTATGCTCAAATCCCACTGACACAACTTCAGCAAAAAATCTGATCAAGACAATCATATATGTGTGTATGGTCACACAACTGGTAGGATTGTGCTGTAAAGGGCAGCCAACTTATTCACTAAGGCAAGAGAACAAGGGCCAGTGCACATGTCTGTCAACAGCACAAAAAGACAAGACAGTTTGTAAACTTCCAGGACTTACTGAGCGTATTAGGGAGCTTTCCTTTGCCATCCGCTTTCAAGCAGAACTTCACTTTGAAGCTGTTTTGGAGGAAAATAAAAGATTAATTCCATACTCTTTTTCTTTCTTTTTCTTCTCAAAACTCTTTTTTAAACTCAGATGAAAGGTATTTACTTTTGAGACTCTAGTTCACTCCCAAAAGCTATTTTCTACTGGCGTGAGAGATACTATAACCTATCGATAAGTAGACAGTGATGCAAAGCTTCGGAGTCTTGATTTACGTAGGAATAGTCCCACCTGTGAAACAGAGTGTTGAGTCCTGAAATCAAATGTGCCTCTTTTATTTTAAAAGGTAGAAGGAACTGGCATACTGAGTTGAAAAGGAAGTTAGCACAGGAAAGGAAAATTGGGTTCAGATAATAGTCCAGGAAAAGGAACTAAAACCAGTTTGCAGAGCAGGTAATTTCCCAAGTGTCTTCTATAAGGCCACTCTGAAAATTAAGTTGATGGCAAAAAACATTGCCATGTGATCCGTTATCTTCTTGGGACATCAAAGAGTTCTTGTTTTGTACTATCTGTTCTTTCTGAAAAACCTGTGTTAGCTTGCCTTTTTTACAACTAGATGACTCTTTCAAAATTGAAAGCCTATGGAAACAAAATCCAAAAAGGTCCCTCCCCTCAAAGGAAAACAAAAATACTTGGCTTACCAAGACACTTGGACATCTGACAGTGAGCAGGCTTTGTTTTCTGGGTTTAAAATGGTTGGATTAACTTCCAGGGCAGCATTTACTCTAATAACTGGTCTAGCCCTGCAAAGAAAACATCCTCTTGAACATAATTCACCACCATGCTAAACAATACCCTACCCATCAAATTGTGAAATACACACATACACACCTAGACAATATTTAGTGAAATTGCAAGAACAATAAATTGTCAGGGACTAGAATAAGGAAAAGCAGGAAGCATTTTTGTGCCCTTTTATTACCTTCAGAACATGGACAGTTGTGTTAAGAAGAAGCCCTGTCTCTTGCTAGCACAGACAAATAAGGTATTTTCCCAAAAGGAAAAAAATTGGATAAAACTATTGGAATAGTAGTGCAATAGCCAGCAGCATCCTCTGTGTCAGAAACTAGAAGAGTGTCACTCAGAAAGCCTGGAAAAGACCTTATTTATACTTTCGTTAGATTGAGAAAGATAAATAGACAGCAGACTGTAGATTTACTCAGTGACAAGAACAGTATAATCTTTTTTACCTCCAGCAATTTGGAGAATTCCAGACTTCTCTAATCCGTGTTTCTCTAATAAATCAATAATTGTGCAGAGCTATCATTTTATTTGACCTGGCTGAAATCATAGAGGAACCCTTACCTATACAAAACAGCTGTGTCAACACCAAAGGCTCCAACAATCAAATCTATCAAGAAAAGAGAAATAGGACACATTACAATTTATTAATTTTAAAACGCTGTTCATCAGAGATGGGGCCACTACTAAGTGATTCTGAAGTGCCATTTAGAGCAAAGAACCTGGATATCCATTTTTATCCACATCTGTGGCTCCTTTCAGCGAGTACCCGAAGCTGGGTGGCATAGTGCGAGCAGCCCACTGCCCTTCCAGGATTTGAGATGGAACTCCATTCAAACCATTTGCTCTTCCATTGTAGATATAGACAAGTCCTCTCTTGTCCTCTCCACCATATGGCGCAGCAACTGCTATATCTGTCAAACCAAAAGAACAATTGTAAACATCTCCAGACACAGACTAGAGCATATTTATGCTTTCATCAGTAATTTCTGATATTACAGTGTCAAGGTGTGTCAGTAGGGAGTAAATGAAACCAGCTTTTAAAATGCTTATCAACAACCTTTTTGTGTTGTTGCTTGTTTTTATTTGGATGCTGGATTTTCTAGTAAGTATACATGTTGAACAATAATATATGTAATAGACTTGGGGGGTAGAAAACACTTCTGCTTATGCTTCTGCACTGCAGTAACTGACTTACACCCAATTTCTATGGCTTTGAGATGCTTTTCAGAGTATTAAACATCCAGCATTAGTCATTGTTGGTGTCAGATCACAAAACTAAGTGAGCCTATATGCCCATTTCATTAAGACACATGTTCCTACAGAGAGTGGGACATTTTAACAAGTCTGAAAAATTTAAATCAGCCTAAACCAAAGTTAAATATCAAACTCCAGTCTATCCTGATTATGGGCTGGCAATACACTTCATGAAAAACTTCAAGTTACTGCAATTTTGCTTTCTCTTAAAGCTTAATATATTTGACAGTACTTATTATCCATGACACATAATCAGTAATAAACAAGAAGCTAATTGGACTAGCTGTACAGACAGGTTTAGAAACCTACATACCATCTAAATTCAGCATTTCCACAGTTGATTTAAAGACCAAACATGGTAATTTCCAACTATTAAACACAATATGGAGTAATGACATTATTTCCTGGTTTTGCCTTAAATTTGAGTTTCATTAGCAACCCAAGGACTCAGTAGTTTACCATTATTAATTTTGGACTCATCTCTACAAACTTTATGAAAGCAGGAGAAATTCCCATCTTGCACCATACTGTGACAGAAAACATGTTCATTAAAAATCCCAAAATGAAACATAGCACAGGAAAAAAAAGACTAAAAAGCAGACTAAAAAATGGCAAAGTAATTACTCTTAAGATGATGCAGGTTACACTACGGCTTTCTCACCTACAGTCTGTTTTGGATTGAGATACAATGGAATCAAAACATTGTTTGGATAATCTCATGAAGTGACTGGATTTTTAGCTAACAGCTGTAACCTTTCCAAAGTCTTCCGTAAATAGTTGCAGTGTGATTGCGTCTTCACACTAATTCTGTATACTATTAGCAATTAAAAATCTAAACATGAACCTCATAAAAACTATGTCATCAAGTATATTGAGCTACACAACATATATCCTGTTCAAACTGGTACATCACAAGAAGAGATTGAAGTAAAATACTTCTAGTTGGCATAAAATAAAATTTCATCTTAACATGACTTAAGTCTCTGGAAAGCATGATACTGCTTTCTACACCTGTTCTGCATTTCTTACCAGATGTTAAATGCAACTACTTTAGATATAAAAAAAGATCTTGCCAAGGTAATGAAAGTAACCTGAGGATTGGAAACAATGTCAATGACACAATTAAAAAAATAATTAGAGCTACTGGCAATTTGCTATATTAGCCTATTATATTTTTTTGTATTTCAGAAAACACTTGGCTTGCAATCAGAATGGAAAAAACAAGACCATGAGCATTTTTTGTGGAACTCACATTTCTAACACTCTTTAGGAAATACTGGCATATGATTCACAAAACAAAGTGTTCTCACTAGGATTTTTGGAAGTCTTTGTCCCAGAATTACATGGTTCCTGTCTGTTCCCTAACTTTCACTTAGGAATGGAGAGTAATAAACACTGGCAAAAGGTTTCAGAGTCCACAGATTCAGTTATATCAGACTCAGACTTTCATCCAAGTACTTGCCCAAGACACTCAGGTCTTGGTACATTTAGGTGCAGTTGGGATATTTTCACTAGACCTTTCCTTCTGGTAAAAAAAAATAATAATAATCTAGACTTGTGTCACAAAAATCCCTTCTAACAGGATGTTTTTAACTAGCTCTCTGAAACCAATACTGTTTTCACTCATCATTATGTTTCTGGAGAGGGCAATTGGCTTTAAGCAATGGAAACAGGAAAATCGAAGTGGAAACGTCCTGAAAAGTCACAGTGCAGAGTCATCAATGTTTCTACTGCACTTTTCACTTAATAATAAACTTATCTGTAATAATCCCTGCTGTAGCATAAATGGTATAGTCTCTGCTCGATGCATCCATGTAACTCCTGTCAGCATTCTTGGGAGTAGCATACAAGCATCGAAAGGAGTCTAGACCTTCTTGTCCAACATTCAGTCATGGTTAGAATGCCTCATGTTTCTGGGCTGAATCCACACTGAGTGTGTTGTCTAGATTTCATCTCTAAACTGAAAATACTGATCAATAAATTATGTCCTACCATTGAAGCCATCCTGATCCAGATCCCCCAGAGGTGCAATAGAACTGCTGAATCTTGCAAATATCTCAAAACCATTCAGCTTTGTGATCTGAAACCTTCCAGAAGCCCGTTGAAGGCAAATGGAAACTTGCCCAACCTCTTGAAGTTTCCCATCAGAACCTCGATCCATAAAAAGAGGGGCTCCAATAAACAAATCTGTATAACTGGACCAAAAAGAATAAGGTTCTTCAGTAACAGCATGAAAATCCTGTGTCACTCTCTCAAGTATCCATTAGTAGGACTAATTCAGCACTGAGATCAATACTAAGATGAAAGTTTCCCATCTTTAAATTGTAACTGAAGGCAAAGGAAGCACAAAGATAACAGCTTTGAAAGCATTTAAAGCATATTAATACATAAGTATATTTATGTGAACAACTACAAAAATCTACAGTTGTTAAAACAGCTGCTGAGTCCATTGATATCTGTGGCAGCCACTGAATACCCAAAATAGGCAGCCATCTGAAACACAAAATTCAGAACAAGCTAGTGAACTGTACTGATATAAACCCACTAGCAAGTTTATACAAGGCTGTATAGAAAAGATGTTAAGTTGTGGATTCATACTTCATTATTTTTCTCTCATTTCTCTTCCTCACTGTGTTAGAAAGCAAACGCATCTGTTACTTTCCCCATTCCCCCTCATGACTCCTTCCCAATTCTCAGAGTAGGCATTTCTTTCGTTCAAATAAAATCCTTTTTTTAAGTAGTAACACAAAATGGGCAAAAGCACAGAACACACTTTCAGGATTTCTACAAACTTTAAAAAGCTCTTCTTTGGCACACAAGCTAATAACATAGGACATTATATACTCGAGTACCTTATATACTGTCTAAACATGTCATCTGTCATCATGATGGGAATAACCTCCCTGTCACCCACCAAACTGAATGAAGCTACATACCTGCTCGCCAGTGAAGTTGTACATGGAAGACATGTTTTTCCCATTGTAGATAGACACCTGCACAAGAAGAAGTACATACTATAACATACCAACAGTACTCATCTTGTTATTTAGCAAGTTTAACGTTTCAAATTTCCTACCATGCCCAGAGTTCTTGCTGCTCTTGGGACTCCAGATACAAAGTCTGAAACATAAAACAATACACCAAGGTAATTAACACTCAGATCACTAAGCACAATTTCTTAGCTAGCATAGAGTAGCTCTCTCCTAGTGCTTTTTACATTTTGCTCTGCAATTATTCTGCAATTATTCTATACCATTTATTTGATGGACCTGCCTAGCATAATAACATGATTTTTTTAATGAAACACGGGTCGTACCTTCTATGCCGTCACCATTGAAGTCTCCAACAGCCACTGAATAGCCTAATCAGACAAAATTAAGAAGTTAGTTTTAAGATCTAATTGACCCTTCCATCACTCTTCAGACTCCCCATCAACCTGTGCACAATGCTGTCATTTTATCTTAAAATGTGAAATAAATATTGCCTCTAAGATTATAAGTAAACTGTAATTTATCAGCATCCATGAATTTAAGATAAGATGATTAAAATTTTATACTTATCATTCTGGGAATTTTCCTGGTCTACTCTTGCTTTTTTAGAACCCTGTTAGACATATATGAAGCTAAGTGATTATTTTTCCCACTCCTCCAAGGGACTCTCTTCATTAGCATTCATCCCAAATATGATTATTCCACATTTTGTTTTGGTAGATTATTTAGGAACAGCTGCATCCCAAAAAAGACAAAAAAACCCCTGTGAATTAACTTCTCAGCCTGACTGCAGAGCACAAAACATTATGAAAATATTTCCATTTATTTTGTTATAAGGTGCTTTTTCAGTCAAGCCTATGGCAAAATAAAGAAGCTTCCATGATACACACGTTACTGTAATTTCAGACATGCAGCTCTTGAGTCACTTGTCATACATAAATAGTAACAGTTTGACTTAAATATGAATAGCAGAAGGCAGTTTTTCAAGTACAGCTAGGTTTTCTTCCTTTTCCAACTACGCACCCAAGTAGCTGTCATCAAAAGTAGCACTGGCAGGTCTGGTAGCTAACTGGTCATCATACTTGGTACTGTAAACTTTGGAGTCATATTTAGCCACAATCTCTGTCACTCGATCAGAAATGAGTTGGCCTGAAGGGAAAGAAAACTGCTTGAAAACCACAGAAAAAGGTGTGCACTCATTCAAAAGACAACAGGGCTGATTTACAGACAGCTTGCTTCTAGAGCAACAGCTGCTCCAGAAAATAGTCAACAGCAGCAGCACTAGAAGGAATATAAGAGAAAATCTGGATCCTTCTGCAGCAAAGATTTATCCATATATTTAATCAAAAGCACACGAAGAACTTAACACTGAAAAGAGAAGCTTCACCAATATGCAAGCCTGGACTTAGAGGGGAGTGCCCAGTTAGGTACCAGTAAGCAGGTACTTAGGGTATTGCAGAACTGAGTCATCTCTGCTTGTCTAAAGCCTACAGCATAAGAGTTTCATATGGCAGAAAAGAAAATGAGCACAGTATATAGGTGTCTGCTTTCACCTCACTAGCCACTAGGTGGTGACTTCATTACATTCAGTCTTTTGTACTTTTACATTAAATCTTGAACAAGTAATTTCTTTCCAGAAAAAAACTTGCTTCCCATACATACTGACACACATGAAGTGTAGGCAAGACTACTTTCCTATCAACTCAGAATATCGAATAAAAATATGGAGTGAAAAATCCAATTTTTACTAGCGTACTATTGTCTGCTGAGTTGGAATTTTTTGTGGTTGTACCAGAAGAGAATAAGGTTGTTTCAGCAGATGCCACTTTTGCCAAAAAGTTCTGTCCTGATTGTAGCAGCACAGCCTTTTAGACAAAGAATAATAGCTACACTCCCAATGATCCTGCAAACAAATACTGACTGAAGCCCACATTAGCAAAACATATAGGAAGTGCTCTGTCAACAGTGCAGTTAAAGGTAAAATGTGCACCATGGCACAAACACAGTAATAGAAACTACTGCAATACATGTTTGCAGTCAAAGGAAAATTATTTCCCTCATTGCAGGGTACATTTCTCATTGAAAATACATATTTCGTATGTATGACAGAAATAAGAAAACAAGTAGATACTTAAGCAACCAAAAAAATACCCTAAAGAAAACATCCTGCTGATTAAATGCTTTTAAGTTCTGGGAAAATGTCTTGAAAATTATCACAGAGTTATTTGTCAAACAAAAGACATCTTTCCTCTATGGTTGCCTTGAGCATTCAGAAAATATTTTTAAGGATGAAGAAAAATTATTTCTCTTAGTTTCTTTACTGATGAAGACTTAGACAGTGATTGGAGGAGTGTGGATACAAATGACTAAGGGGATTCAGAGAAAAAACAAAGAGGGCAATTTCTCTGTGACTTAAATGATATATCTCACCTTGCCAGTAAAAGCTTCCAGGTCCTCCAAGTAGCACTCTGTCTCCCTTGGAGGGGGAAAAAAAATGAAAAACAGATTAAGCATAAAGACAAAATAACATGTCCTATATTTACAGGAAGTAATCGCATGCACATACATCACTGTAGCTTCACTGACTCCAACATTTTTTTAAAAAATAAATTATTAATCAAAAAAGCATCTCTTGAAATGCTGAGATAAGAGATTCTGCCTTAAGTGACTTGCTTATTTCACTCCTTTAAGACTCCTGGCAGAATTCTGCTCTTATTGCTATACATCCTTCTCTCCACATCAATCTAGGGCAACAGAAATGCAACCAGGAGAACACTTTAAGACAAGTCTTCTTGTCTTAAAGGCAACCAAGGCAATCATAACAAGTTTTAAGGCCAGTACACAAAATAGTTTAATATTTGGCCCCTGCCACATTCTGTAACTTATCCTTAAAAAGATTGAACTAAGGAAAGCTGTGATGTAATTCCACCACTCCCTAGTCTTTGGTACAACTGCAATCACAAACCATTTGATTCAGCTTGAACCACATTAGCTATCCCAGTGCTAGGAATTTGCTTTGTAAATACTGAATCGGGCCATAAGCTTTACTACATAATTAAGCCACTTTTTCTGGTTTTAATCTTAAAAACTCCCACATTCACCACTCAGAAAAAATTAGGTCAGAGATTTGGAGATACCTTATCCCCAAGCTTGCCCACTCAGCTGGAGTTGTGGATTAAGAGCCCAAAATTGATTTTATCTGGGGCTTGAGTCTGCACATTAAGCCCAAGGGGTGCACACAAAACCACTCCAATGTTTACAAGTCCTATTCTGCATTTTGCAAAGTTTTCTACAGAAAGAAAATGAATGTCCTATAGCAAAAATCAAAGAGATACAACTAAGTCACAAGGCACAAAGAATGCAAAAAATTGCCACATTACAAAAGGACTTGCATGGTCTTAACATGTCCAGACTATGCTAAACAATCTAACTGTACAACATAAAAACTACAGTCAGTTGTCTGATTTGGGCAGTTTTAGTCTGCTTTGGTTTAAAAAGTAATCGTGAATTTTAAAGAAAGTATAAAAAGCAGAGAGAACCTGTAAGTAGAAGAAACCTAAGACAGATAGCAAATAAAAAAGAGTCTGCTTCTGCTACCTGATGGAAAAAAAACAACCAATACTCACCAGAATATTGTTTACTAGTTCCCTTTAGCAGAAAGTTTTTCTTCCTCAAGAAGTAACACTAGCTATGCACTGACTTCAAAATAAGTGTCTCAAGGAAGCAGACTATCAGTTCATTTCACTTGAGAAGTAGCTGCAGGTTTATGGTATGAGGCTGGAAAAATCACTGTCATTGTTAGGACAGCATTCCTACCAGAAATGAAAGCATGCTGCTGTGCATACCTAGCTAGGAACAGGTTTATAACACAAGTGGTTTGAAGTTATTTTTGTTTATTTACAGGATTGTGTTCTTTGTGGTGTTCCCCACCTCAGGAATGGTAGTTTACATTTAGTTCCACGATAGCTGTGCTTGCACGTGGTCTGTATCAGGGTTGTTCATTTGCAACTGTCTGCTGAAACAGTATCATTTAAGAAAGAGTCACATACCTTTGTAAAATCAATACTAAATCCACCTTGACAAAATCCCTGTCCATCTGCATCGATAGTGGCTGCAGGAAAGAATGGATAGGAAAGAGAAAGACAATAATAAAGAAAATAAATATTACCGGTACTAGATCAGATGATTCCGTGGGTACTTTCCACAGCCTCTTCCCAAGTAACCTTACACTCCTGAACTTGAACCTTGGAACTTTTTTTCTGAGTCAGAATTTTCTCTGTATCAACAAATCCCAACCAACTGCTGTAACAGCTTTAGGGCTGCTCTAACACACATATTAATATATGTGCTAGCCTAACACAGTCAAAATAAACAGCAATTCCATATTATTTCCTATTTAATCTTCCCAAGTTTTGGAGAATAATAATTTTCATTTTTTTTCAGGCAATAATATATCTGGAAACTAGTATTTCTCTTAATATGGAGTAAAAATCTGTGAGGTACATACCAGTAAGTTGTATTGGCTTAAAACAACGACAACAGACATGCCTGCCTGAAAAAATCTCTACATACTGGGACTCCACCCAGCAAGAATTGTCATAGCTGATGAATCATAAGATTATACAGCTCCAGAGAAGAAATGCTGACACCCCTTTATCTGGAAATGTGACTACTTAACTAGCATGATTTAACTTCATATATGCTTATTTCACTTTTTATGTTTGATCACAGTGGATTTCATTCCTGC